ACATGTACGTGTTAAACGTTGGAAAGAATTTTCGGGGACGCTTTTTTTTTCTCCTTTTTTTTTTCTTTTTTTTTTTTTTTATGATCCCCTCCTCCTCCTCCTCCTCTTATAAATTCACCGCGCATGGCCATATGGGCTGTTTGCGTGGAGCAGGCATGCCTTGTAGAACAATATCCCCCACCCCCACCCACCCCCTTCCCCCCCCGCATTGCCGCCAATTCCGTTTTCTCTTTTCTTTTCGTTTGTTTTTTGTTTTTTTTTTTTTTGTTTTTTAATTTATTCCGAGTGGTGTTTTCATGAAAAAAGAAAGCCATGAAGAAACGACTACTCCAAAACAACTTCGACGGCCGCCCTCGTCAACAACAACAAAAAAAGAAAAAAAAAACCCACCAAAACGTTAACAGGCACAATAAATAAATAAACAGCAGGAAAAGGGGTGCAGAGTCATAACATATAAGAAAGAAAGAAAGAAAGAAAGAGCGGTCCAGTGCATCTCAAATAAAATGATTCAAAACATCTTTCTTTTTTTTTTCCCCTCCTTCCCCATCTTTCTTTCCGCCACTCCGTCTGTCCCTCTCCCTCTGTGTGTGTGTGTGTGTCTGTGCGCATTGCCATCACTCACACATTCCTGTGGCTTTTCCCCCCATTTGTTCCTTCGATATCTTTCTCTGTTGTTTCCCCCACCACCCCCACCACCACCACCCATTCAACGCCTGTCGTCAACGGATGTCTCACAGCCGGCATCGCCCCACCTTTTTTTTGTTTGTTTGTTTTTTTTTTTTCTCCCCTTTTTTCTTCTTCGCGTTGTTGTTGTTGCTTTTGTCCCGTCCACATCGTCACTCTCGCAGACACACACACACAAAAAAAAAAAAAAAACACTCGCCACGTGTCGCTTGGCACGGCACAAGAAAAGAGGAAGACAAAATGATGGGTGGCATGAAGGATGGAGAAGGAGAAAAGGGAATGAGAGAATAAAAGAGAGAGAGAGAGAGAGAAAAAAGGAAGGGAAACCCTTGCGGTCAATGAAGGATGTACATTTCAAATTACATCCCACTACAAAACAAAAATATTCACTTCCCTTTTGTTTTTCCTTTCCCCCCCCTTTTTCGTTTTCTTTTGTTTTTTTTTTTTTTTGTTGTTGTTTTTGTTTTTGTTCATTTTGATTGTCTTTTTTTTGTTTGTTTGTTCTTTCACTTTTCAAACTGTCATCTTTTTTTCGGCACGCCACTTCTTTTTTTCTTTTCTTTTCGTTTTTTTTATTTTATTTTATTTTATTTTTTTCCCGTTTCCGTTTTGTTGTTGTTTATTTTGGTTTGCGTGGAGGAGTTGGAATTCTCAGGTGAATACATGCAGAAACGGGAGAACTCGTATCGATGCATACATTCGCCGCGGGGCATCCGTCTCCCACCACGCACTAGCACCGCCGGCATGCGCAACTCAACTGTGCGTGCGCGTTCGCCGTGGGGAAAAAAAGAAGGGGGAAGTGAAGGGCGGGTGTCGGTCTGTGCACAGGGCCGCGGAGACTACACATTCGTCCAGCCGTCATTTTCTAGGGAGGAGGAGCTACTGGGGGGGGACGCCGGGTTTCTCGGCACCTCCTCCTCACACTGCTGCTGCTGCTGCTGCTGCTGCTGCTGCACGGCTTCCGGCGATGAAGTCTCCTGCACTGCGGCATCGCGTCCACTCTCGCATGCACCGTCGCCGTGATGTGCGCCGCTGCCGCCCATCGCCGGGTTCTCTACGTGGTTCGGCGGCGAAGATGATAAAGACGCGGCAGATGAATTGGCCGCCGCCGTCGTCGTCGTCGTCGTCGTCGTCTCCATGGCGGCGTGTACCAACTGCATCTGACTCTCGCTCAAGTTGCACTGCTGGACGAGCTTCAGCACCGCCGCTAGTTTTCGGCGCTCGTCGTTAAGTTCCACTTGGAGCAGATGCACAAGGGACTCCAGCGCGGCAATTTTACCCTCCTGTTCCCGCCATTCCGCCTCCGTGCGGTGCACGACGCCACGGGAGTTGCGGTCTTCTCCAGCGCCGGTGTCTTTCGCGTCCGCCGGCTCCTCCTCCTTCCACCCGACCAGTTCGTCGGTTGCCTCCATGAAACGCTCGGCGAGGCTCTTCCCCTTCGACTGCTCCTTACGTGGCGCCTCCGCCTCAGAAGCCACCTTCGCTGCTGCTGCTGCTGTTGCTGCTGCTGCGGCGGTGGCGGCCTCATCCTCCTCGCGCTTCCGTCGCTCTGCAGCGGTGGAGAGGCGCAGCTGCGAGAGACGGAAGAAGTAACGATCAAAAAACGCATCTTCCGTGACGCGCTGCAAGTCAGAAGGGGAAGCTGTGGCGGATTTCTTTGGGGTCTTGACGTCCCCTTCCCCACCCTCTAATGACGGCTGCCCGGGTGTCGTCTTGGACTCCGATGGGCTCTCCCGCTGAGGAAGATCGCTTGTCTGCACCATCGCGGCGTACTTCTCAGCTACCAGCGGGTTCTCGTCCAAAAGTCGTTGGCGGCACGTCATGGCGGCGTTATAACTACTGCCGCTGCCGGATCCGTCAAAATGATCCCGACAAAACGCATTTACAGAGCTGTACACGCTGCGGCGGATCCATTCCTCAAACAGCGCCTTTTCCTCCGGCTCGCGTGGTTCCTCAAGGTACACCGCGTCTGTTCTCTGCAGTGCAAAGATAGCAGCTTCATCCAGCGGGCACTCCTGCGCCAACAGGGAATCCTCGTCGCCAGCAATGTAGGTGCTATGCCCAGTCACCTCCGCCGCAATCCGTGATACCATGTCGGCCAGGCCCTTTGTGTCCTCCATCAGACTGCTGGTGAAGTCCCCAAGATCCCTCGTGATGTTTTCAAGCCACATAGCTGAATGCAGATGCTGCTCGAATTTCACACCGCACCTGTAGCCCCTCTCTCGTTCTCACTCACTGTTGTTTCTTCCCTTTTTGTATATATATATATATATATGTGTGTGTGATTTTTTTTTACTTTTCTTTTGAATTGTGTTCTCACCTTCAACACATTCCGTGACGCATTAAGCCATGCACAAATTCAAAGAGGGGCAAGGTGGAGACGATGAGAGCGGTGGGGCCGCAGCAGCACAGAGGCCGGGGACGCACACGCAACATGCAGGAAGTAGAAAACTCAAAAAAAAAACAATAAAAAAAGAAAAAAAACGTTGCAGTTTCTTCTGAGGGATTCACTCGCCGCCATGACTTCTCCTGTCGTCGTTTCAGAGGGCCCACGTCATTTCTTCTCCCTTCTTCATCGTCTTCGCCGTCTGCGGGGAGTGAGCGGGCAAGAAGAGACACAACACAAAAACAATGAGGGGGAGGAGGAGGAAAGCAGCCGCTCGGCCGGCAATTAAAGCCCTCATCCACTCAAAGCAAAGCGACATTTCTTCGCTTTTCCTCCAACCTTGTGGTCACCATCGCAGCTGCACTCATGCAATGGCGCTGCATCGCCATCGTCTTTTTCCTCTTCCTTCACTCACTCACAATGTGTACGTGTACGCCGTGGCCCCATTGCGTTCCAAAAACCCGCGGTCGATGAGTCGCTCAATGACACATTTAAGCGTGGCCATTGTGACGGGAAATTGCACAAGTGTTGAGACCGCCGTGACAAGATCCTCGTGAGTCGCACAACGTTTCTCCTTCATGAAGCGCACCACGGCAGCCTCAATCACGTGCTTGTGTTCCTTCAGCACATCGTCCACGGCCAGCATGCTGTCCGCGTCATTCCTGCCGGTAGAAACATCCTCGCCGCTGTTTGGAGTGTTGTAGAATGGGATGCGGCAACGCATGCTGCTGACAGCAAAGTGCGTATTGAATCGCAGTCGGTCGGTACCAGCCAGCATGGGAAACGCCGCGGCAGAAGAACCCCCCATGGCCGGTTCACGCAGCAGGAGGGAAAACTTCGGGTGGCACAGGCCGTAAATGGACCCCGTCACAGCTGGAACCAAAATATCAACGGCAAGCCGATCACACAATGCCCCCACTGTCACCGCCTCCACCCTTTGCGACGATGATGACGATGGCGTTGTATCCATCATCTCCTGCAAGGTAAGCAGGATGGCAGCCTGCAAAAGTGTTCCCGTGAGGTTTCGTCGGACGGTCCCTATGGAGCACCTCACAACCGCCGAGGACAATTGATGCTGCCACAAAAGCTGGCGGTCAGTGAAACATTGACGGTAGAAGTCCTGCACGGACTTGGCAAGAAGGCGCATCGGGGACGGCAGACGAACCGCCAACGTGGACTGCGTTGGCCAGAAGCCAGACGTCAAAATGTGCAACTTCACCTCCGTGTTCCAGGGCAATTCGGCAATGAGCGACATTGCCTCCCCCTCCTCCTCCTCTTCGTTGTCGACCCGCATCACCGGTGGCCACTGCGCAGAGGCGTCATCACGTTCGCCCGTCACCCATGCCTGGTATCGTTCATTCAATTCCTGCGACACCTTGAGGTCGTTGAACATTCCCTCAAACTTGGACGTCTCCACCCCACATGCCTTCTTGAGCTCCTGAATAAAACTCCTCTCAGCATCCAGACGCCGTGGACGCTGGTATTGCAGCAGACGGCGCGCAAGATCATGCCAATAAAATGTCTCAAAAATGCCCCGCGAGGGAAGTAGGGCGTAAATGCGCCCAATGTAATTTAGCAAACCCCCACAAGGTGACACAGCGGTCGCAGTAGCAGTAGCAGCAGCAGCAACTTCGTCACTACCACCATCATTGGCCGTCGCAGTCGCATCCGCGTAAAGGCAATTATCACCGCTACCGTCATCGCCTTTGGTGTTAGCGGGGGCGGACATCAGCGTGTCGTTCTCCTCCTCACGCATCAGAAAGTCAATGTACCGTGCAATCTGCCTTGCAAATTCCGTCTGGTTCTCCTGCAACACCTCCACAAGGGCATCGTTCAGCTGCACCGTAAAAACCATGGAGTTTTCCGCAAAACACTCGTCTATCACACTCTCCCCGCGACGGATGAGCGCAATCATCGCCTTGACGGCAACAAATCCCTCCCTATCCGCCGGTCTTGAGGTAAGCTGCCGAATGATCGTTACGCCCTCATGCAAAATGTACTCACGGAACACCGCGCCACACTCCTTTCCAAGTTGCACGTATTTCCCCAAAGCAAGAAACTGCCAAGCGAGACGAATGCAGTCGTACTTCTCGTCTTTCACGAGTCGCTCAAAGTCACGTGCGAGAACATCCGTGCCATGTGCAGCCAGCAGCGACGTCTGGGCAATCTCCTCCAACTTCGACATGGTGTTGGCTTCCAGGCAGGCCTGCACGCGCCGTCGTCCCTCCTGGAGGAAACAACCGACCTGTTGAAAAAATACCTCCGCGCTTTCGCCGTCATGCCACATGCGGTCCGCCACCTCCGTGTAGAATTCCTTGGCGACTGCAAGTACATCTGGTTCCACGCGCAAAAAATACACCTCAATAGAGGAGCAAAGATTTGTAAAGAGGAGTATCTCCCGTCGAACGTTGCTTTCGTTTTCAAAATCTTGACGCAAAAATGTAAGAAATCCCAACTGCGCCCGCGACAGGAGCCACGGGTGCTGCAGCAATGCTTCCTTCATGATCGCAACGGCAAGCCCATCGATTGACCGCACCGCATGCATTCTTGAGATATACCAGCGATCCAGATACACCCACACCTCCTGCAATTCTGCAACGGCAAGCCGATAATGGCCCCAAACATGCACAAGACGCATAAATGTCAAACACCCCTCTCCATCGGGCTCACAGGCCGTGGTGAGAAATTGCAAAATGTGCATGACGTAGGCCTCAAGAGATTGCTTCAGCTTTTCATAGACGGCAGAGGCAGCATCCAACTCAACGAGGGTCCGCACGCTTCGGCAGGCGGCATCCGCCGCATACCCACGATTAGAAACATTCACTGGGGGAATGCGCACGCTAATCGACGACATCGACGACGCTGACGGCGAGGATGATATTAAAAATGATAGGAGTGAAGTGGAATGCTCAAAGGGTGGCGTGGAGGAGATGACATTCTCCGATTGGGCGGCCAAACGCACAAGCAGGGCGTCAAGCATCCCTTCAGCCACCGTCCATGCCTTTTCCTTTTCCTTCTCGCACGCTAGCCGATGCATCTCAGCGTCATGCGTGAGCAACTTCACTGTTATACATGGCTTCTCTTGTGAAGGCCCCACGTCCCACTGAAGAGCCGTTGGTGGTGGATCGTACAGCGTGCGGGACGCCATGACAGGTGCTTCCACAACTTTTGATACCCCTTCTTTCTTTCTTCTTTCTTTTTTCTCACCCCCTCCCTCCTTACTTTCTTTTTTTTTTTTTTTTTTTGCTTTTCTTCTTTCCTTCTGGTGATCTGGAAATAATAAAATAAATAAACGATGTAAGGGACGTACGGTGAAGTCATTGCAGCCGTGCAGTGGGAGGTGAGGGATCTGCGGTTAAGAGGTGTAACAAAAAAAAAAAAAAAACTGAATGCTGAAAATAAAATAAAATAAAAAAGCACCGACATGTGTGATCTTCTCATCTCACCCCTCCTCTTCCCCCTTCAATGTTGTCGTTGCTGCTGCTGCCGTTGCCGTAGGTGTTTTTGTGCTCCCCCTCTTGTCCGCGGCATGTCATCAAGGAGAACAAGGGAGGGGGAAGGGGCCATATGCGCACAAAGAGTGAGATCCAAGCAGAAACGGAAGAATAATAATAATAATAATAAAAGAGAGAGGGAGAAAAAGGCAATAGGCACACCAAAAAAAAAAAAGGAGGAAGGTGGAGAAAATAACATATAAACAAAGTTAAAAAATAAAATAACATAAAAAAGGATGGACGCTGCGCTGGAAGGCGGTGGATCATTCTGTGAAGCAAACGGACACGTCCAATAATCCCCATCACCACTCGTCCCCATCCTTCTCTACTTTCATTTTATTTATTTATTTTTTTTTTCCACCTGTGATATCTTTGCTGCGGTTGTTTTTGCGTATGTGTTGCGTTTCTTCATCCCCACCCTCCCTACCGCCTTATTTTAATGGGTACTACAAGCCGCAGATGCGCCTTCTTGCCTCTCCTCCTTCCCTTCTCCTTGTTCCCTACATTTCTGCACGTGTGGACAGGAAGACGGTTTGGTCTCAGGTGATGCACTCAGACGACTGTTTGCCGTCACCATTACTATGCGTATTAGTAACAATACTGTTGCTGTTGTTGCTTTTTTCTTCTTTTCTGCCTTGTGTTGCTGCATTTCATTGCTCCAAGTACAACTTCAGCACCTCCCCGTAATGCATCGCGTCCTCCGCCGGCCGTTGCTTAGTAATGGCGCCAATAATAACCGGCATGTCGTCTGCCACAGAAAAAACGCTTTCTGCAAGAAATATAAGAACGTGAAAGTCCGCAAGTTTTTCAATCAACGGTACTTTGCGTCGCTTTGGGTCCTCCATGTAGTTGCGGAGGTTAATCATCGCTGGCGGCTCCATGCCAGGCCGTGACACACGCATGAAAAGATTTCGTACCACCGGCGACTCAAACTGCTGCACCGCGACGTAACTAGTAAACCAACGTGTGTCAATGTCGTGGCTAGGCGCCATTGTCACGACGCGCGGGTGGCCCTTTTCGTCCGTTTCCTGCTGCGCCACCTCAAGTGGGATGCTGCTGTGGACATACTTGGCACTCTCAAGGTCCGAGTAATCGTCCGACTTCTCCCGCAGGACTCCCAGACGGTAGAAGTGCACTGCCTGCGGTGATGTCTGCCACGCCTGGCACTCAATACGGCCTGTCGTGAGGCTTGGGCTCATCGTGAGCAGCACACACTCATCGCCAAAGCGCGACTGCTCACGGGCACAAAGCAGAATCTCGCGAGAACTAAGCACCATCTCCTCTATGTCACGTGGTGGGTGTGTGCAGACGGCACCAACACGGCGAAGACCCAACAACGCCGCAATGCGGTCAACATTCGGAAGACGTTTGTCAGGGAGATAATGAAACGTGTACGCATCGCCATGTTGCTCGGGCTCATATATCGCGTGTACCTCAATTAGGTTGAGGCTGGCATCGTACTTACCGTAAAGAATGCCGTAACGCTGTAGCGACCAGTCCAGTTGTCGCACAAAACTCTGAAATAGGTTCAGCGACACGGCATCCGCGCGTACCATCTGCGTCCGGCTCTCCACCCACCGTATACGTGAACGGTCAATCGCCTCCATGAGCTCGGAGGAACGCACAATGTTTGACTGCACCACAGCGCCCCCCACTATCGTGTGCCGCTCAAGATTGTGAAATATGCCTGTCTCTGGGCAAACCTCCTTCTTATATGGCAGTTCATGACAATGGGGGCATGGCTCCACGCGTGGTTTCTCCGCCTCGCTCAGTTGTTGGTACCGTGCCGCCCGCTCACGCCGAATTTTCTCTAAATCCGCCTCAGTCGGCATCTCGTGTGTAGACTGCGTCTAATATATATATATATAGTTATATATGTATTATGTATGCACCGCTCTCTCCTCCTCCCCGTTGTAATGGTTGGGCGTCGGAGAAAAAGAATATATGGATGTGAATATGTTTCCCCCACCCCCACCCCTAACCCCTCCTCTTGAACTCTCTCTTTTCCCACTGAAACGCAATCACTCCGTTCCCCTCGGCAGGGGGGGGATAAAAAAAAAAAAGAAGTGGTGGTGGTGCGTGTCACGTGGAGCCCCCACAGGAAGAAGAAAGGGAACGATGTCGCACGGAAATAATAACAATAACACAAATAAAGCAAAATGGCCCTCGTCCCACCAGCCTCACCACAAAAAAAAAAAAAAAAGAGAATAGAGAGAGAGGGAGAGAGAAAGAGAGACGGAGTTGCTTTAGAACGTCAAATAATGCTCCCCACGCCTATCAAACGGCTCCGTGCGGCCAAGCAGACGAAGAACTGTGCGGTACGCCCCTGTCATCACCAACGCACGCGTATTGGTCGTTATTTCCGACTCGCGCGCCCTTTTTCTTCGTTCCGCACCCCGCTTTTGCTTTTGGACCTCCTGTGGGGCTGTTTGTGTGGAGCGGGCAGCACCTCTCCCACTCCTGCTGCCCTCCACCCGCACTTTGATCAGGAAGTCATCGTCATCCCCATCATCGTCGTCGTCGAGGTCGCTGTAGTAGACACCGTCGCCGTCACCCTCTTTTGGTGCCGCTGTCATAGACAAAATGCGCTGCGGCACCAACACCCGCTCCCTCTCCCTTACGTACGCCTGCAACTCCCTCATATTCCGGAAGCCAAACACACTGACGCCTCCGCCCGATCCCCGCACTTTTGTCTCCTCATTCCCTCTGGATGCGTTGGTCGGGGTCATATTCGCTGCCGCCCTTATTCCCCCACCGCCGCCTTCATCTCTACGTGTCAGTCGCAGTTCCTCGCGCCGCTTACACTCCGCCTCAATGCGCTGCATCATGGGACGCACCTTGTGCTCGACCCAGTACGCGTGATAGGTCGGTGGCCACGCCTCGCACACCTCATCGCACAGCAGAAGATCCGCACAGAGTTGTCGCATTGACGTCGTCACATTCGCGTCCTCTGCGCATGCAATTGTCACCTCGTCTGTGAGGGACGGTACGAAGAAGGGCTCCAGCTCCTCCGGGGCGGCGGTGTAACGTGCTATAAAAAGTGCCAAGGCACGAATAGGGCGCCGTGGATGACGCACAAAGTGCACAAACGCATCACGGTAAATAAGTCCAAAGCGGTAGAAGACGCCCATCGCGAGAAGGAATGGACTCGCGTTGCCCTCCTCGTCCATCACGCCAACGTACTGCACCTCTCGCTCACAGTACCGCAGCAAACTCTCCACACGCTGTTCATGCTGCTCTGCGTCCCGCATGGGGACCGTCCCGCCCCCTTCAGGGATTTGGCAATAACGAGACTCAAACTCCTGCAGCCACTCCGGTGTGAGGGCCTTCTGCAACGTTTCCCACAAGTCCTCATCGAAATTCATACGGGATCGCAGGGATTCCTTCTTTCTTAAGATCTCCGCAGGTGGGGCACGTGGTTTTCCGCCACCCCCTGCATAATGGTTGCGCAACCGCATGCGGTGAGGCAGGGCAATAAAGGGATTCCTCAGCCCAATGCTGAAAAGCTCCGCCGCCGCACGGGAGTCTGTAACAAGAAGAAGGACGTGAATGCAATCGTCCTCGTTACCGGCGTCTGTCGGTGGTGTTGACTCCATGTCAATAAAAAGAAGAGAATCTGGGGGTGGTGGCACAAGGTCGCCGCTGCCACTATGACTACCGTGCGTTGTATGTATCTTGCGGCGTACGGTTGGTGTTAAAAGACTATACAACTCTGTCTGTAGCTGCAGCAATACATGTGGCTGTATCGGCTGCGGGTGTTCCGCCGGTACCTCCAACACAAACTCGGGCCCACAGAACAGGTGCGGCTCGACCATCGCACCCTCCTCCCAATGCCCTCCCTTTCTTCGCCCTTCTCACTTCCCCTGCGTCTGTAGGTGAGGAGTTAAAATCACACACACACACACACACACGGAGGGAGAAAAAGAGAAAACCGCCCCCCCCCCCCCGTCCTTTTCCTTTTTTCCTTGAGAACCCAGTGTGGTGCGGCCAAGCAGAAAAGAAAGAATAAAGCAATGGAAAGGAAATCATGCCCAGTACGCCAAGAGGGGGCAGCAAGTCGGAGGATTGCAGCGTCAATAAGAAAGGGGGGAGAAAAAAAAAAAAAGGTAAGGGCAAGACGTCCTCCCACAGACACGTTGCATTCCCTCCGTTGCTGCAAGAGGGAACCTGAGCGATTATTTGCGCTACGCAGGGTTTACTTCACTTGTAAAGGGCCACTGCACGGTGAGCAGCGGGTATGAAACCAACACACAACGTCTCACAGCCGCCTGCAGTTTCCCTCCACGCAGTTTTCCTGCGGCGTCCCTATTGTAAATAAAAGGGTCAGCGAGGATTTCCAACAGTCTCGGTAGAGTGAAAAAAGGCCGCTGCTGCTGCTGCATCTGCTCGATAATGTAGTCATTCTCCTCAAGAAAGCACTCCATCTTGCTCAGGGGTTTTGCTGCCAGTGTGGTGGCACCGCCGCCCTTCGGTTTCTGATTCGTGGCGGCCGTTGTGGTGGTGCCGGCACTATTGCTAATATTATTATTATTACTGTCGTCTTCGTAGTTGTCTGCGGCAAGCTGCAGCACCTTCTCGAGCATCGACACCAATAAAGGGACTGTTGTCCGCGTCCACTTGTCGTCATCGTCATGCTGTCGTTCCTGTTGCTCCTGTGATAAAGCTACGAGCTGCTCTAGCAGAAACGTTTTCTCCTCCTCCGTGTACGGCACTTCGGAGTGAATCGTCAG